GATCTTAGTTTTGTGGTAATAAGCATTGTGTATAAGTTTCATACCATTTAGCTGAGGCAAACTTAAGTTGGACAACGGGAACGAATAAACTGCTTCGCTGAGCGCAGCTGGATACGCCCGCAGAGGTCCAACCCTGAATAGTTGGGGCAAAAATGGACACAATATTCAAGCTTGATACAGGTCTGAATTTGGATTGTAATTAAATATTTGATATATTATAGGTTTCTGAAAAAATGTAGTCAAAGAAATTAAAATTGGTTATATGAAAGATTTCTTGCTGTTGTACAATACACCGTGCTGTTGCGCAATACTTATTAAATCTGTTGTCAGACTATAAACAAATAAAATCTTATAACTCGGAAAAGTAAAATCGAAAATTTACAAAAATCAAAAGGGAGATTACAAAAATAGATATAAACAATTTACCAAAGTTTCATAAAAAATGCTAAAAGCATTTTTGAGTTATTGTCCGAAAACTGGAAAATCCCCCTTTTTGTAATGAATAAAACCACATAAGTCGGAAACGTATAGTGTGAAATTTATAAAAATCAAAAGGGAGCTCATGTCGATAGAAATAAACAATTCACCAAAGTTTCTTGCAAATTGGTGAAATTGTTTTTGAGTTATTGTCTGAAAACTGGAAAATCCCCCCTTTTTGAATGAATAAAACCCCAAAACTCGGAAACGGTAAATCCGAAACTTACTCACGTCAATAGATATAAACAATTCACCAAAGTTTCATGCATATTGGTTAAAGCGTTTATGAATTAATGTCCGACATGTTGACGACGGACGGACAGACGGTCAACGGTATACCATAATACGTCCCGTAAACGGGCGTATAAAAATTCAGCAATTTTTCCATTTGTAAAGGGGCATAACTCTAGAACGATAAAAGTGACGCCACCAAAATTCAAACTTGATCTGTGTTTTGTGGTGATAAGCATTGTGCATAAGTTTCATAACATTTGGTTGAGGCAAAAGTTAGAGAACGGAAAGGAAAAATCAGCATATTTTTCCATTTGTAAAGGGACATAACTCTAGAACGGTAAAAGTGACGCCACCAAAATTCAAACTTGATCTGTGTTTTGTGATAATAAGCATTGTGTATAAGTTTCATAACATTTGGTTGAGGCAAACTAAAGTTAGAGAACGGAAACCAATTTTGGGACGTACGTACGTACAGACGGACAAGGGTAAGATCATTTTCCTCATTTTGTGTGGTTATAGATGGTTGCATTGTAAAGCAAGTTCGTTATGCTTTGAAGTTTGTGACATTTGGGTATTTCCACTTTAATTGTGACGTCATGCACAAGTATCTATCATCAGCAACATGCTACTTCAAAAAAACTTAACCGGATATTATTCATTGCATTTTCAAAAATATTGGCATGAAAAAGAGAAAATGTGCATGTTCTTGCATATTTTTTGTTCAAACGTCTGTTTCCACTATTACTGTTTTATTCCTTTCCAAGAATAAATCCTTTCAGCAATGTTTTTGACATCTGAGTCAACAAAAATCATCATCTTATATTATGAATAGATGAACTGTGTCACCGGAACTTATAGAATAGAAAGACTTGACCAATTTTTATAAAACTTGGCATGACCAAAACGTAGCGAATTGTAAAACTGCAGACTAAGTTTCACGGCAATAAGATTTATTTTATAGACAATATTTTAACGTTCTACCATATTTTATCCAACAATCTATAATACTAAAATAACGAGGTCCAATTTGTTAGCCGGCATGGGGTAAAAACGACGAATCAAAGAATTCAACTTTATATATAACTAATATAGGACAATGGTGTTGATTAAAATTACACCATTCAAGGCCCTTTTGTTTTCCAAAGAATTAATATTACCAGTAATTATTGAGTTCCAGGTCGACGTGTTCAAACAGAAAAAAATTGAAAGCAGAGAATACCGTGCATCTTATAATCAGCATTACTTTATCAGATGACAGCACCAATACTAAGAATCCAGGCTAAAAATATGATTGTTGGTGTTTTAACGCCACTTTTAAGCGCCACATTTGAGCTATTTCGTGGCGGCCAGTTTTTATTGGTGGAGGAAGCCGGAGTGCCCGGAGAAAACCACCGACCTTCGATAGGAAAACTAACAATCCTAGTCAATTAAGATTGAAGTCGAGTGAACCTGCACGAGCGGGGTTCGAACTAACAACCTCAGTGTTGACTGGCTAGTGATTACAGTGGTAGAACAACTTAGACCACTTAGCCACCGAGGTCCCCAGGCTGAAAATAAGGCTTATACATAATTAGATACTTTAATTAAGTCACGTACCCGTGTGTTCTAGTTTTATCTATCAAAATGTGGGCATAAAAAAATAAATATTGAAAAATTTGCTTTCTAAATGCCTTAATATATCATGTTGATTTCGCATGCATTTAAAGCAAATGAACAATCAGTTGATGAATTAGAATTATCATTTTGTATTACAATAATTTAAAAGTGAAATTTATATGAACCGGTGTGTATGAAAATAGAGATTTTCAAATGAAGAGGGTGGGGGCAATAGTAATGTATAAGTAATTATTCCCACCAATGTAAAAAAAAATAATTAAAAAATGTTATAAATAATTCTTCCATACATATATTTAATGTACTTTGAATGGAAAGAAAAATTACAAATACCACACCACAGGAGTATAAGATGATCGATCCTTGGCCATGTACGGCTGAGAATTATATTTGGCGAATTTAAACTGTAAGACATATAAACATTTAAAATACATACAGAAGTTATAGGAAATAAAAATGTGTTACATTTTGCTCAGATGACCTGCGTCTCTGCTGCATTTTATGTACATGCGACAGCGTTAATTGGAAAAAATGGAATAAATATATGTACATATAGGTAGGCACGGATTCTTTTCTATTTTGCTCAATTTACCTTTCATAAACATGATACATGACAATGATCAGACCCAGACTGATATCCAGTCGAAATTAAACAAAAAAAATAAAATAAAACTCTTTATTAGAGAAGGTAAAAAAGTCCAAGTTGGTATATTTAAATTGTTTACATCTGTTTTTATGTGAAAACAACATAAATGGACTTGAAACAGTATCAACGCATTGTCAAGAACATATTGGACTATATTTACATTTTTTTTTATCTTATTCTATGCAGATGACACTATCATACTTGCTGAAACAGCGAGCGACATGCAAAATACATTAGATATGTTTGAATTATATTGTACACAATGGAAACTTTCTGTGAACACTGATAAGACAAAGATAATGGTATTTTCAAAAAGAAAAAGCAAAAGCAAAAGAAACCACTTACATGATTTCAAATTATATGGTTCTGATATAGAAATAGTAGATTTTTATCCTTATCTAGGCCTACAGTTTAATTATAAGGGTAGATTAACAAATGCCAGAAAAAAATTAATAGATCAAGCAGGAAAGGCACTCTATGCTCGTTACAGAAAAAAATAGGAATTTATATATCCCTATTGATTTGCAACTAAAATTGTTCGATTCTTTGGTTGAACCCATACTGATTTACTCTTGTGAAATATGGGGTTTCGAAAACATAGATGCTTTAGAAAGAGTTCATTTAAAATTTCTGAAAAAAAATCTTTCATTAAGAACCAGTACTCCTAATTTTATGATGTACGGTGAAACTGGCAGATATCTCTTGGAAAACAAAGTACGAGTACGAATGTTGTCATTCTGGTCAAAATAATTATTAAACAGCACAAAATTATCAGGATTGTTATACCAATTTTTGTATAACATGCATAATTCTAAAAATATTGGATCTAAGTGAATTAATTGTATAAAATCTACATTAGAAAACACAGGTTTGAGTTATGTTTGGAACAATCAATGTATTTTAAGAAATGTTGATATCAAAATATATGTAAAGCAAATTTTACACGATCAGTTTATTCAAAAGTGGTTTAGTGATGATGAAAACCCCTCAAGAGGTGGATATTATTTACTGATTAAGCACGATTTTTGCTTAGAAAATTACCTATTAAGATTGAAAAGAGAAAATAGAATATATATAACCAAACTTAGATGTTCAAATATCAAAATTCCCTTAGAAACTGGTGGATGGTATAACATTCCAAAAGAGGAAAGATTATGTACTTTGTGCAGAAATAATTGTAATTGGCAATCAGTTTCATTACTTATTTGTATGTTGCAATGACGAGGTTACAAAATTAACACGTGCATATATCTCAAATTACTATATTGTAAACCCTTCAGAATATAAAATGAAAGGTTTGATGTCTTTATGCAATGTAAAAGTCTTGAATAACTTGTCAATTTTAATAAAAAAAACTTATGAAATATCTCTGATTATGAATATATTATCATCATTTACATTTATTTGACTGGCGATCTTAAATCCCATTATTATAGCTCTGAATAATTTTCACGTTTTATTAATGTGACTGTATACTTGTGTACAGAGAATTAGGTATAATGAACTATGTATGTATATTTCTTTCTATCTTTTTCACCATTGTAAAATATTATTTGTATCATTTGTCTGCCTCTTGTTACAGTGTAAACTGTCTAGAGTGTTAATAAAAGTTCTAAGTTCTAAGTTTACATCTGTTTCATAAATCTATGGGCTTTAAAAGTTTGATGTAGGTGCATAATTTAGGATTTTATGCATCTTGTATATACGTGTTTTTACTTAAATCATAGTATGGAGCTTCGAGATATTTGTTAACTTTTAAATGTAAGAAAAAAATTCACAAACCAATCGATTGTGGTAGGTGTAAATACATGTGGACTTTTTTTGTGCATAAGCATAAATTCCGCCGATAAAAATTCCACAGAAAGATAAAAGATTGATCTTCTTAAAGCATTTTTTTCCTCTCTGCCCCCGGTTACAGATATTTTTGAAAAAAATCCAACAATGGACAATAATTTCATCGAAAAGGGAAAGCCGAGTACACCTTTTTATGTTCAGGCTTGTTCTGTTAAAAAAATTATCGACACAAATATCACGTTTCTCTTTTATTCATCAATTTTAATTCATTTTCTTCTTATCATCATAGTTGTTGATTCCAGTGAGTAATTGTAGCCTTTCCAAGCCTTCCAATTAATCCCAATAGTGCTGGCAGAGTCACTCCCAGCGAGATAAAGACCGTTTAAATTGGCAGTGTGACAGGCTCCGTACCACCATCCACCCTTATGCCATTTAGCACAGGGCCCTGAATGATCGTCATTATCCTGATCTTTAGTACTGAACTTTCTACCATTATGATGGGCAAGAGAGTCACCTTGAAAAGATTTTTAAACAATTGGTTACATTTTGTAAACTTATATTCAAGAAATCCTTACCATAATTGACAACGTGACCAGAATATCACTTCTTTGAACTTCGGATATCTCGGCAAACTTCTAAAACAGTGTTTCATTTGCACATTTTTGCGGAATTTCGAAAAAAATGTGTCTGATTTTCTGTATCATAGTGTTATCCATAATGCTACGATTTTCTTTATGATATGAATACCTTAAATAAATTACAGTTGTATTGTTGCATTAAAAATTGTCTATTAAATGTACAGTGTCTGTCATATTCAAACGGATTAAAAATTGATCTCGTAATCATGAATTCTAGCAGTGATGAGTAAAAAAAGAAGGCCCCTAAGAATTTCCCTCTATGTTTTCTAATGGTGCAAAAACGCAAGCTTGTGTAAAAACCGTCATTTAAGGCCAATAACTCCTATAAATAGTCATTTGATAATTATTGCGGAACTGAAAGTATGTGAATGAATTTTATTTCTCATTAACTACAAATTACATAGTTACAGAGAATATATATGTATAAACAATTACATTAAATATTAAAGCACATGTGAACAATACAGACATAAACATTAAATTACAAACTAACCAGGAGGAGTGACCTTCACATTTATAATTTTTATAAATCTACATAGTTTTTCAAGAACAATATAGTTACTAGAGCTCATTAATTGTTGATATTTATATACATTTGGACAAAAAGTACAATAGTGTGGTAACAACCTCTTTCTTTCTTGAGTTAGAGCATTACATGTCATAACATAATGATATTCATCACCTATGTCTCTTGATTCGCAAAGATGACACAACCTATCATTTCTTGATATGTTATTCCACCTTCCCGTCTCGATAGGTAATCGGTGACTTCCACATCTAAATTTACACAATAAAAACTGATTATATATTGACAATTTGGAAAAATAACTTTCTAATTTAATATCAGTTTTAAAAATTCTATAACATAAGCATTTAGGAGTAGTGTTAATTTCGCTTAGGCAATTCTGTAAAAACTGGTCTTTAAGTTTCAACTCAATACTTTTAATTACCCATTTATCTAACAGTTGGTTAAACCAGATATTTGACATTCCACATGTATCAAAAACATTTTTTACAAATGATATCCATTTACAATTAAGACCATAGTTGTGAAAATTAATATATAATAGTTTATATAAAAGACATGAAATTTTACTTTCTTTACCACACAGTAATCTACATAAGAAACTAACCATACGCACTTTGGCATTAAGAATAACAGGATATCTACCCAATTCTGCATAAACAATACAGCTAGGTGTACTCTGTTTTAAATGTAGAACAAGCTTACAAAATTTTAAATGTACACGTTCTATCAAATCAAAATTTTCAAATCCCCAAATTTCCGAACCATAAAGAAGGATAGGTAAAACTATCTTATCAAACATGTCTAACTAACATTCTATAGTTAAACTGTTTTGTCTACATTTTTTTAATATACCATACATTGCTTTAGTAGCTTGTTCACAAATATATTTTCGGGTCTGTAAAAATGAACCACTTCTAGCAAAAAATATACCGAGGTATTTATAATCAGTTACAATTTCTAATTCTCTATTCTGTATAAAAAATCTAATATTTTTGGGTTGTCTCCCTCTGGAGAATATAAGAACTTTTGTCTTATTAATATTTATTTTGAGTTGCCATTTTTCACAATAATCACAGAATTCATTTAACATGTTTTGTAGATCTTCACTACTCTCGGAAAACATTACAGTGTCATCCGCATATAATAACATAAATATTTTTAAAAATACTGTCAACTCGTGTTCAAGGTCATCACTAATAGAGTTAACACCAAGTACATCTTTGCCTTCAAAAAAATGCTGTAAATCATTTAAAAATATTGCAAAAAGAGCAGGAGAAAGATTTTCTCCCTGTCTTACACCCATTTCACAAGCAAATAACTCTGATTTTTCACCATTAAATATAATGCGTGATTTTACATTTTCGTACATATTTTGTATAATACGGAAAAATTTGCCATTTATATTATTCTCTAAAAGTTTAAATAATAAAAAATTTCTTTGTATAAAATCAAAGGCCTTTTCAAAGTCGACAAAGGCACAGTAAAGTTTTTTCTTCCTTAACCTAAGTAACTCAAATAGTGCATATAATGAAAATAAATGATCAGTAGTTGAATATCCATGTCTGAAACCGGCTTGATTTTCTAGTAAAATAGAATATTCATCAAGATAATCACATAATCTAGTGTTCAAAATAGAAGTAAAAATCTTACCAAGACATGACAAAAGAGTAATAGGACGGTAATTTTGTGGTTCGGTAGTACTACCTTTGTTCTTAAAGATTGGTATGACGTTACCTATAATCCATGCCTCGGGTAAAATACCCGAATCAAAAATAATATTAAATATATACACATAAATATCAATCATACAATCAATAGACGAAGAAATGTATTCATTTACAATCATATCGTCACCCGACGATTTGTTATTTTTAATATGTTTTATAGCTTTCAATATTTCTTCAGCTGTTATACTTTCATTTAACATAGAATTTGAAGATTCTTGGCTAACATCGTTATTAATATCATAAGTATCTCCTTTATAATTATTTTTGTTTATATCTTTAAAAAAGTTAAACAATGACTCAGTGGTGATATTACAATTGTTTTTATGCTTTACTTTGTTCCAAATTTTCCAAAATTCCCTTGGGTTTTTGAATCGCATATTTCTCATCTTAGTGCGCAAGTTTTCGTTATATAATTTGATATTCTCGTCCATGACTTTTTTGTACTGTTTTTCTGATTGTCGAAGTCTTTCTTTAAATAAATTAGATCCATAGTGTTTATAAAGTCTTCTGGTTTTTCGAAATTCTTGTCTAGCTTTTTTACAGTCTTTATTAAACCAATCTTTGTTTGAAAAGTTCCCTTTCCCGCCAGTGTTTTTAAAATTTTTAGTAAATACCCCAAATGTGTCTTTTGCAGCACTCAATAGTACAGTCGTAATATCACTTACAATACCATCTACAGTACCTTGATCAACTGAACTTATATCATCATATTTAGACATTACATTTAACAATAATTCGTTTATTTTATCAACATCAATGTTGTTTTTGTATTCAATTGTCTTTTCATGTTTCCATTTACCAATGTGTACATTACTGTCATTAATTACTTTACTTTCACCTTGTGTATTATTAAAACCATTTACAGTTAAAGACAAACACAAAGGAGAGTGTATATCTGAGAATAAATTACAAAAATCAGAAACTTCAAAATTATCTATTTTGCATAAAATATTAGCAGTACATAATATATAATCTACTACACTAATACTTCGGCTTGTAGGTTTACCAAGTACTCGGTCTTTACCGACTCTTCCATTTAAAATATACATGTGATTATTTTTACAAAATTGAATTAATTTTCTTCCATATGTATTAATAACAGTATCAGAACTATTACGTATTCTTGGTAAATTAAGATCGTCTAAGACATGAATGTCATTAAACTCATTTACATCTATAAAATCAGTTAAATGTTCTTCGAAATCAGATATATCGAAAAAATCTTGTTCATTTGCAGTACGACTATTGAAATCACCAAGAAGAAAAATACAGTTACTATTCTTTTGTAATTCAAGAAATTCTATTTCAATTTCTGACATCGCATTTTCAGACGTATAACGAGTATTTTCAGGCGGGATATACACTATACCCATTATTATATCATCTTCTGTTCTTAATAATGTACGATCTACTCTAAACCATAAAACAAATGGACAATCTGTTTCTATACAATGAATAAATTTTGCATATTGTGACCTATAGCCTAAAGCTATCCCACCTGATCTAAAGCTAGTAAATTTTTTCCTGTTTTTATAATGAAAGGTAAAATCTTCAAAACTAATTTCATCTAAATCGTCCAATTTTGTTTCAGTAAGACATAATAAATCATTACAGTTTAATAAATCCCTAAATTCTTGATACAATAGTTTTCGTTTTAATCCACAAACATTTAATGACAATAAATGAACGATATTTTTATTTACATGATTAGAATTAATACCAGTGTTAGTGTGAGAGCCAGTTCCATCTGAGTGATTTAAACTATAATTTAAATTGTCCGTTAAACCTCCACGGTTTACCTATCTTCGTCTTCCACGTCTGTGAGGGGCTCCACGGGTACGGTCGTTGTTCTGTTGAGGACCTCGGCGGGATGGTTCTTTCTGTCGTACACCTTCTGTTTCATGTCGTTGTTTGTCTGCTTCCATGTGACGATCAGTAGGGGGTCCAATTTCTTCGCCGTCAATAAACAATTTGTCTCGTTTAAAGTGCGTTTTCTGTCCTTGTTTTTTTGCCTCCTTGTAATATGGCCAAAGAAGTTTGCGGCGGTCATTAACCTCTTTTGGGAACTGTTCATTCACCCCAAATTTGGTACCTTTGAGCTGGCGAGCAAAAGATCTGACCAATTCGCGATCTTTGAAATTTTTAAATCTGCACACTATTGGCCTGGTCGTATAAGTGTCTCTGTCGTCGATTTTAATTTGTGATTTTTTTCCAAACCTATGTGCGCGCTGAAAGTCGACTATCATATCCATTTTCATTTCTGTTTTCATAAAGTCTTTTATAATGTCTTCAGTTTGCTCTGATTGTTCATTTTCAGAATGTTCTGGTATACCCGAAAACACAAGGTTTTCCCTCATAGACCTTATTTGTAAATCTACATGTCGCTCATGTAATTCGTCTATATCAGCCCTCAGACAATCGAAACTGTTAACCATTTAGATCTTGATATTTTGAACATTTTTGCTATCAATTCTGGTTTTTAAGATATAACACATGTAATTACTTGCTTTTTACACTTAAGTTTTATTTTAGTAATGGCAGCCATGTTGATTGTTTGGCAGGAATAAATTAAATCAAGCTGTAATTGGTAACTCTAATATCATTCAGCCCAAGTTTGGTTGAAATTGATTCAGCAGTCTCAGAGAAGACTTTTTTTAAAGTGTACGACAATGGCGCCAAGAACAAAAGCTAACATAGGCGAGATGAGCTAAAAAGTAAGGTATCGGTTACCTAGCGGACGAAATAGTTCAGAAAATAACCACAGGTGCTTGCTGCATGGGCCCCCTTTTATTATTATTAATTAATTAAATAGATATTTTTGAAATATTACTTCAGCTTTATCTACTTTCATTCTCATACCAACGCAATCTTATCGTTAAACCAGTTTATATTTGCATAATTTTGCATGGTGTGAGTGACCGTTTAAGAGTTATTATGAAAAATGTGTCTGCCAAATACTCCACACAAAATATTTCGATACCAGAAATAAATAGCCGGAGTTCAGCGTTACTGTTATATATTAAGCTCTTCTGGGATGGTGTTAATCAAATGCGGATACTAAAAAATTCTTAAGATATATCAAAGTACATACAATTAAAGTTATTCTCTTTTATACAAGTATAACTCCTTTAAACCTAAAGACAGAATAAAATTACCTCGGAGTAAAGAACATGTATTATTTGTGTGCTCAGTAAATACGTCCTTGTCTTGATGTCATAAAATATTGTCACTGAATGAACAAGTGAGCCTGTTATTCAGTGGTTGTTGTTTGTTGGTGTGGTTCATGGGTGTTTCTCGTTTCACGTTTTTTTTATATAGATTAGACCGTTGGTTTTCCTGTTTGAATAGTTTTACAATAGTCATGTTGTGGCCCTTTATAGCTTGCTGTTCGGTGTGAGCCAAGGCTCCGTGTTGAAGGCCGTACCTTAATTGACCTATAATTGTTAACTATTTATACATTGTGACTTGGATGCAGAGTTGTCTCATTGGCACTCATACCATATCTTCTTATTTATAAGTATCGTCTTTGGAGAATTGTCTTGAGTTATAAACGATCCCTGACACACATGATTTATTCACTTAAGTGACCTTATATGACATCTTATAAATTATAAAACAGCTCTGTCGACGAAACAAACAATGTAATGGAATCTTTTTCAGACAACAAGAGTTCGGACGTAGAAATGTCTCGCCTGCTTTACTCATTGTGATTGAATTTTATATTGAAAGTCTTTAAGATAAAGGTTTTACAACAGAATTCACATAAACTACGACGTATACCAAGGATCAATGATTGAAGATGAGGTCAATGTCTGAGAAACCCTGTCAGATATATATGTCAACCTTCCATTCATTCTATACCCACAAAATATAGTTGGTCCATGATGAAATGAGGTCAAGGTCAGATACTAGGTAACCCTTCCAGATGGACATGTACTCCTTACATTCATTTCATTTATCAAATATAATTGATCCATTGTTCATAGTATCTGAGAAGCAAATTTTATCAGAAAACCTTATCGTTGACTTTGGAACCATGAACATTTTATATTGAAAGTCTTTAAGATAAAGGACAACAGAATTCACATAAACTACGTATACCAAGGATCCATGATTGAAGATGAGTTCAATATCGGAGAAACTCTGTCAGATATATGTGTCAACCTTTCAATCATTCTATACACACAAAATATAGTTGACCTATTGCTGATAGTATTTGGAAACGGACCTTACCACGAACACGTTAGTTGTCAGTTGATGACTGGTCCATTCAAGGTCATGTCTGACAGACAAGTACACCATAAAATCATTCCTTACAAAAAGTACAGTTGACCTGTTGCTTATAGTATCCGGAAACGGATCTAATGGCAAAAACTTAACCCTGAACAATGAACCAAGTCAATGAGGTCTAGATCAGTTGAACCCTGCAAGACAGAAATATACATCTAACAATTGCAATTAATCCATAGACTTATCGTCATTGACCCATAATTGTTTAAGGTATCTGCGAAACCGATCTAAGCACGAAAACTCAACGTTGACCAATGAACCATGAATATCAGGTCAAGGTCAGAAGACGGACATGTACACCTTACAATCATTCTATACGGCAAATATAGTTATCATATTGTTTGTAGTGAATAAGAAACGCACTTAACATAGAAAACTCAACATTATAGTGTGTCTTTCTATGTTGTGATGTTACACTATTGTTTCAGATAAGGGTGAAGGTTTGGTACCATTAAAACGTTTAAACCCGCTGCAATTGTTTGCAACTATCCTAAGTCAGGAATCTGATGTTAAGTTGTTGTCGTTTGTTGATGTGGTTCATAAGTGTTTCTCGTTTCTCGTTTTTTATATAGATTAGACCGTTGGTTTTCCCGTTTGAATGGTTTTACACTAGTAATTTTTGGAGCCCTTTATAGCTTGCTGTTCGGTGTGAGCCAGGGCTCCGTGTTGAAGACCGTATTTTGACCTATAATGGTTTACTTTTATGAATTTTGACTTTGATGGAGAGTTGTCTCATTGGCACTCAAACCACATCTTCTTATATATATTGGTCAATGAACCATGAAAATGAAGTTAAGGTCAGATGAACCCTGTCAGAAGACAAATCCAAGTAACAATCATTCCTTACACCAAATATAGTTAATCCATTGCATGTGTTATATGAGAAATGAACCTAGCAATGGCAATAAAGTTGATCGTTGATCCATGATGAAATGAGATCAAGGTCAGTTACTAGGTAACCCTTCCGGACATGTACTCCTTACAATCATTCATTTATCAAATATAATTGATCCATTGTTCATAGTATCTGAGAAGCAAGTTTTATCACAAAACCTTATCGTTTAATTTGGAACTATGAAAATATGGTTAATGTCAAATAGACGTGATAAAATAACAGAAGTTTTTTCATCAAAATGAATTAATTGAGATAACGGACATATGCCAGACGGAAACTACAGAAAATTAGACATCTTAATTTCGATGACTGAGTTTTGAATACAAAATATTTAAGAAAGGTGCTACCTATGCAACCTTATGTTAATTATTGAATATTAATTAACATAAGTTTGCATAGGTAAATACTGACTATTAAAACATATTCACAAATAGTTTTTTCAATAAGATTGTGTGGGTATGCATAGTCTTTAAATTTACAACTAATATTAGTATTTTAAAACTTCAGGTAAAGTACTCACCAGCATCTCCCGTATACGTCACAAAAGTCATCTTAAATTTGGTTTTTTCATCGCCTATTTTAAAGTTGGTATATTTGGCATATCTATTTTCATTCGAAAAGTCCTCCATCGTGATTAGCAATTCATAATTTCCTTGAGAAGTTAGATTATGTAGTTTTTCATTACCTATAAATAGATATTGAATCATGTTTAGATTTAACTAGGGTTTCTCACATTGTCTGTGAATAGAAACTATACTGCTTGGAAGGATAATCCAGAAATGTTCATTGAAAGCAACCAAATATTACGTTTTCTTAGATTTGTAAAGCTTTACTGACGAGTCATCATTAAGTTTGCTTTACAAGAAGAAAAAACTTAATCTAGCAAGTTTGTAAAAATTGGAAATGGAGAACTATAAAGTTTGTATCCCTTTCATCTATTTATAACAGACAAAATTGTATCTTATAATATGCAAAAAAGAAAATAAAAAAAAATACACTTTTGTAAAACAAAGCGCTACTTACTTACGAATACAAACAAGATCGCATATACATTAATTGATTTTTTTTGCCTAATGTCTATGGGAAAATATTTCAAGCATATTCAGGACCAGACTAAATTAAAAATAGATCCACAATAGGTATGTTCTACAGAGAGGGCCGACCGGGATGAAAGGTGGATATTTCGACTGTCACCAAAAAATTTAAAGTTAGAGCCATTTTAAAACACTCTCCTTATACGAGGCATCGTGATAAACTTCCTACAAATCGTTTATCAATAAAACGGAAATTTAAGTGGCATTAATAGATACATCGTTCGACAAATGGCAATTTAAAGTCAAGTCATTGTTTTGCGATTGTTTCACGTTTTCTGTTCATTTGTACTTCTGTTTGTAGTGCTTTTAATTTGATATATCTGGGTAAGTATAAGTATCTTGACCCTAAAATGATATACAGAAAACTCCTCCAGAATCATGAAAATAAAAATTGTTATTATACAATGTTAAAGTAGTATATTTCTCTTTTACAAATTAGGTGTGTTTTAAAGAAAAAAAAGGACTTTACCAAGCCAGTGCTCCGATTTAAGAGTACCAAAACCATCTTTGTAGTCAGACCATCCTCTGTGAAAAGAAACCTTGCCATTTAATCTTCGTTGGAAAACCTGAATTAAAAACAAAATAGAATGAAAGTTACTGTCAACATATATTACATTCGTTAATTCGATTGATATGCAAAAATGCGGCGGGGTTAAACATGTTTTGTGAGATCCCAACCCTCCCCTATACCTCTAGCCAATGTAGAATAAACAAACACACAGCAATACACACAGTAAAACTCAGTTTAAAAGAAGTCCGAGTCCGATGTCAGAATAAGTTACAAAACAAACTACGCAAAATGACAATGATACATAAATTAACAAGGTATGTATGAAATAGAAATATGAATTATTTACTCAAAGGGCAATTAAATTGGGAGCAATAAATTACACGAAACAAAGATTAATACACCGAACAGCACATTACACAAAACACATAAAACCTTCATATTAACTAATCTAATGACACGGATTAATTAATTAAAAGTGTATATCAATAGAATATTTTTATATAACCGACTTTTGACTCCTGATTAAAAAAAAATCGGCAGGTTACCTACAGTATACTCTGTGGTAGGACATCCTGGTACTCGGTCAGGTAAGAGAAACCAAAAGAAGTAAAATCAAACATATAATTCATATAATTGGTGCAATTTGGGGGGGAAAGTGTACTGTTTTCTGATGATTTTAGTTCAAATAAAAAAAGTATAGCAGTTAATTCCAAGCCGTTGGATTCTTTTCACATTTTTCATGTCAACTGACTATAGCGTTACAGTATGGGATTTGCTCATTGTTGAAAGTCGTACAGTAACCATAGTTGCTAACATCCTCGTAATTTGGAGTCGGGGTTCTGGTGGATAGCTGCCTCAATATCAATCATGACGACGAGGAGGGTTTTAATGACCTTGGGGGTCTTGCACGATCGGTATGTCAATCATACCACTTCTCCATATTTACGTTCACGTATATATATGTTAGAGAGAAGTGCAGTAACTATCATTGTATAGGAATCAGCTGGAACATTTTTTATTACATCAATGTGGGTATCGGAAAGTCAGAAAACCTTACTACAAAAAATTAAAAGTCTTTTTAGCCATTCGAGAAATTTACATGAACATAATAATTATATTCCAATAGAGTTTATCTATTATACATTTTGTCATATCATTTTAGTAGGGATAGATATTTACAGTCCATCCTCCATCCACATCTTCTGTATCCATATCACAGTAAACATTAAAACCATATCTTGAATTTTCCGGGTAGATTTTATATACTCCACTGCCACGTTTGATGTCAATGTCACCGCAATCTAATGGACGTCTAATGAAATCCTCACCTGTTCAATATACCGGTATTAGAATCAATTACAAAAAAAAACCATAAAAAAGCGAAAGAACTAATTAAAGTGTGGTAGATTTCTAATTTTTTTCAAACTTTGACTACATATTGTTCAAACTAAGTATAGAGAAGCATATTCGACCTCTGTATCCGATAATCTAAACGAAAACTCTAAGTGCTATATATATATACAATGGTTAAAACCCTATGTACATCTATTAAGGTTAAATAAAGGCAACAGTAGTATACCGCTGTTCGAAATTCATAAATCGATTGAGAAAAAAACAAATCCAGGTTACAAACTAAAACTGAGGGAAACACATCAAATATAAGAGGAAAATTACGACACAACAGAAACACAACATTAAAATGTAACACACACAGAAACGAACTATTATATAACAATGGCGATTTTCCTGACTTGGTACAGGACATTTTAAGAAAAAAAAATGGTGGGTTGAACCTGGTTTTGTGGCTAGCCAAACCTCCCGCTTTTATGGCAATGTTAAATATAACATTAAAATGACAACATTACATGACAGGACTACAATACAAATAAATGGGAGAACATATAGGACAGAGAAACATATGAATAATAGCTAACAAAAGGTACCAGGTTTAAAACTTAATACGCAAGACGCGCGTTTCGTCCACACAAGACTAACCAGTGACGCTCAGATCTCAGCTCAAGCCAAAACAAGTACAAAGTTGAAGAGCATTGAGGACCAAAAGTTCCAAAAAGTTGTGCCTAATACGGCTAAGGTTTTCTGTCTGGGATAAGAACATCCTTATTATTTAGAATAATTCATACTTTTGCAAACAGTAAATTTATAAAAATTACTATATAATAGATATACATGATAACACCGAAGTGGTGACTAACTACAGAATAAAAACGGATACATAAAACAACATAAACCAGCACATAAAAATTCACAGCCGAGTTAGCCAAAGAGATCAACGCACAAAGTGACGTCACATTTGAATTTCTAAAATTTCCCCAAAATAGGATAGAATTAGGATAGAATTCAAGATTAGGTTTGTAATACGCATATAACATTTATTAATAACAATGAAAATTACAATACTTTTTAATATAAAATTGTGGTAGTAATTAGATAATTAATTGTATTATCTAGCTATGTCGGTGTTTCTTCTAAATCAAACTGTAAACCAAATATATCGTAAAAATTTAGTTGACCCAAACTAAAATCTAAATGAACTGGGTGATTAATTATCTTTACCATAACACACGAATACAACAGAAGAAAATAAGATTTACAACTACAAACGATAAGACATTTGACAAAATCAATTGAGAATAATTAACAAATATAACATCAAAACTAAATACATGAATTTTGGATAGAAAAGTACCGTGACACGTCTTATAGCAATGCGAATTCACACTCAGCAAAACAGTCACAATCGGGAATAAGTCACGTTCAGTAATTAAAAGATCAGACGACGTAATGTCAAACCACAATCTAACACGTGGTAAAAATGTCCTTAGTTAGTTTGGACAATGACACATCGTATGGATCAACCAATTCGTGATGGTGTCCGTAAAATTTACGGAGTGTCAATTATGATCTGTCTTCCTCATAACTTTGTTGGAGCAGTTTCTGCGTTAGGAGCACACTCCTGTATATGGAGTCCGTATAGTGTGAACATGCACGATCATAACGTATCAACTGAGATGTGTAAACACCATACGAAGGGGCAGAGGGTATGTTACTGCTGAGAAATGGGAAATTGATAATTGGGAAGTTGAAATCGTCCCGTTTATCATAGATTTTCGTGTGAAGTCGTCCATCTGTGTCAATATTGAGGAAAAGATCAAGGTATGAAGCAGTCCTTCTAGTATCAGTAGTGGGATATATGAGATGTAAGTATTGGCTGAAATATGGGTTATTAAATGATAGGACATCATCAATATATCGGAAAGTAAAATTAAAGAAGAACGCAAGGTGCTTTTTCTTTTTGTCTTTTAGAAGGTTCTGAATGAATTCTGCTTCTTACGAGTACAAAAACAAATCGGCCAGTAGGGGTGCACAATTAGTATCCATTGGAATACCGACTGTCTGTTAAAATATAAATCCTCCAAACTCAATATAACTCAAACAAATATATTGTCGATCAAAAAGTCCAGCATTTTGATAATATCATCTTCAGTATATTTTCTGGTAGATTCAGTGTGGTTCTTCACAAAATATGAATTATTGTAACCCAAAACAAAGATTGAGGCCGCAATACTACAATAAGCATAAGATCAAAAATTATAATTAAAAAAACATGTTTGTTGCAAAAAAAATTTTCAAATTCACTCACCTTCAATAGGAAAACTGTCAAATATTGACAAGAAAACCGTCAAATTGAGTACAACTGCAATAACCAAAGTAAATGTCATTTTAAGTGACTTTGAATGTCGACTTATGAAGAAATAAACACAACGAAAATGATGAGAAATTTAATGATGCATCAGAAAACTGCGATATAAGTAAGGAAACTGTGGTTGTTTGTTTAACACACTGTTTCCTGAAACCAAATTCATTTGCCAAATATCATTTACGTAATATCTTTATGTTTAAAAATATTTAGGGCGTCATTGGTTTATCGAGCCCACAGTCTGTTGACCAAAGTTTGTATGAAGGTATATTGGAGAAACGTTCGTTGATGGAGCCGGTTGCAGGTCTGTTGAAAAAAAAATATTAATAAATTGCTATGGAGTTGGAAAAAATTCTATATTTTCAAGAATTGATTGTTGTTTTCATGCATTGCAATGGATGAAAAAGGCGATTGTCAGTTCAATTGTAAGCATTTTAGTGAATAGTAATATTAAAATATAAACAGAATAAAATAACGTTATCATTTTCTCTTAACATAACAAACAAAGAAAACAGCAGGTTTTACAACTTTTCTATAAAACAAGCTAACAATTTTGTTAATGGACTACCGACATTTCTTTACTACGTCTACTCCGGGGCGTTGGCAAAATATACCTAGACCAGAGAGAATCTGTACTCTATGTCATGAAAGTGTTGGTGATGAATTTCATGTTTTATTTGTATGTCAACATGATTCTATAGCTAATTATAGAAAACAATACTTACCTTTATACTACATGTATACTATTAATCCACAATAAATTGAAATGTAAGGATTATTGTTCATATGTAGTATGGAAGTCTACAAACGACTTTCAAATTTGTAGTAAGAAAATCAAAACAATCAAAAAGGCCAAACAAAGCAAAAAGTTGAATATCATTGAAGACACAACAAGGCAATAAACCAGGTAGTGTCCTACAATAAAACCAGGTAGTGTTCTTCAATGCAATAAACCAGGTAGTGTCCTACAATGTAATAAACCAGGTAGTGTCCTACAATGTAATAAACTAAGTAGTGTCCTACAATGCAACAAACCAGGTAGTGTTCTACAATGCAATAAACCAGGTAGTGTCCTACAATGTAATAAACCAAGTAGTGTCCTACAATGAAATAAACCAGGTAGTGTTCTACAATGCAATTAACCAGGTAGTGTACTACAATGTAATAAACTAGGTAGTGTTCTACAATGCAATAAACCAAGTGGTGTTCTACAATGTAATAAACCAGGTAGTGTACTACAAAGTAATAAACCAGGTAGTGTTCTACAATGTAATACACCAGGTAGTGTTCTACAATGTAATACACCAGGTAGTGTTCTACAATGTAATAAACCAGGTAGTGTTCTACAATGTAATAAACCAGGTAGTGTACTACAATGTAATAAACCATGTAGTGTCGTACAATGTAATAAACCCGGTATTGTCGTACAATGTAATGAACCAGGTAGTGTTCTACAATGCAAAAAAAAAAACCAGGTAGTGTCAAAATGGAGGGTCTGGCAAGCCAACGTTTGGAGTTCTATCTTATATGTAGGTCCATAAGGGGGGCTGGGACCCACATAAATTCGCCTCTGCGTATTCTCATTTGGTCTATTACTGTAAGTTTAAACAATATCCCTCTTGTAATATTAGAGGAGTTATAAAGCACATGGACAGACAGACGGACAAGGTAATTTCTATATACCTTAAAGATATATAAAGAAAACGAATGATGGAGTTTCTGATTTGAACCGCATGCAGTGGGATAATAGATATAAGAAGATGTGGTATGAGTGCCAATGAGACAACTCTCCATCCAAGTCAAAATTTATAAAAGTAAACCATTATAGGTCACAGTACGGTCTTCAACACAAAGCCTTGGCTCACACCGAACAGTAAGCTATAAAGGGCCCAAAAAATTACTAGTGTAAAACCATTCAAACGGGAAAACCAACGGTCTAATCTATATAAAAAACGAGAAACGAGAAACACTTATGAACCACATCAACAAACGACAACTACTGAACATATGTTCATACATAAACTTGTTTTGTCAGCACTCAGTCCTCTCGTTTTTGCCTCATTCAAATAAGATGCATATAATTTTTGTTCTGACATACCACTGGCTAGTTGAGTGATTACTCAAACCTATATATATTTCTGCTTGCTTGCTGTCCAGTGGAAAATATTTCATGCAAATAAGATGTTAAACGGATTGCCAAAAAATACAATTGGTTGGTTCTACTGTATATTTATAATTTTATTGGAATGTTTTATCTATAGTATGAAAGGTGATGTGTATCACATTTTAAATTGATCCCATTGTATTATTAAGCAATTTAAATGTCTCTTATTTTTTCATTGATAAACCATTTCAACCATAAATGAACAGTCTGTCTGTGCAAGTCGTGTCCGATTCAGATAAATAGTACTTGTTATTTTCATTTCAGACTATTAGAGGGTGTGCTTAGAATAAGATTGCATGGAATGTCGGCATGAAATATCAAGGTCATTACTTCAGTTTGTATATTTTAAAGGGTGGTACATCACAATCATTCATCGGAGCAACAACTGCGACTAGAACATCCATGAGCCTGACTGTTCATCTCCAACATTAAAATCTCAAGCAACATGTGAAACCGTCGTTCACCACACTATGATTTGACTAGGATTGATCAAGATCAAACTGCAGGACATTTAAACACATGGTAAAGTCATTTAATATATTTTCTGACATTTTCTTGCTAGTCGTTATTGCTAATAACAGGCAAAGTTCTGTCTTTTAAAGTTTTCAAAGTAATAAACACATCGAGATATATTTTAGAATTCAAAACGTGGCAGGAAATAATGTATGTATAGGGCAAATAATTGGGGTAGACTTTGGAAGATGCAACATCACCAACACAGGCCCGGTCAAAAAGAACATAATGGAAAGCAGTATATATTCAAAACAAAATAGTTCCTACACATCGGTGTAAATATTAAACACTGTAGAATATATATGAGAGTCTGGATGGGGTTTACTGAATAGGGAATAATGGGAAAATATAAAGAATAATCTAAAAAAATAAAATAAAGAAAAATCTCCAAAAAAATAAGGAATAGAAAAAATGGACCAAAAAATAAAGAATAGAGAATAATAGGGTGCTAAAATTTAAAGAATAGAGAGTGATGGGTAAAAAGTTAAAGAATACAGAAAATGACCTAAAATTTAAAGAATACAGAAATGAAGGAACCCCATCCAGACCCTAATGTATTGGAAATTTAGGTATCAAATGAAAGGCGAAGGACTGGTGATCCTTGTAGAACACCTTTTGACTGATAACTTGAATAATACAAAAGTGCATGAATGAAATCTAAAAAGGAGGGCATGTATTGCTTGTTTCTCCGATATGAAGTTTGTCATATTTTTTTTTAATACACGAGATACAAAGTATTTATAAAAATAATCTAATATCATGCAGCTTGCAAATGAATATCAAGTTACATGCAATCCCATGAAAGAGTGTTATGGCAGTACTGCAACCGCGAATTGACACATAACGTTAAATCACAAATGACATAAAACGTCACCTTGGAAACATTAGTACGAGATCCGCTTGATACTATCAACCAAAAGGAAAATGGGAGCTACATTTGCCAAATTGGATTGCTTTGGGTGCTTCCGTAAAAATAAGATAGGGGTGGTAACAAATTCTCAGCACAGCATAACACACAGATTTGAAACACGTTCATCATCTGTAATTATACAAGAGTTACAGAGAATTGGAATTGCATCCGAACGTTCTGGCGGAGTTAGATTTTTTGTAGAGACATTACCAGAAAGTGACAAGCTAAATGAAAAGCCAAGGCGACTTCCTGCTATTCCTGGTTCTACTGGTTTAACAAGAGGAAGACTTACAGGAAAATCAAGGGCTACCACTTCAAAAGGTATATTTCAGATTAAAAATTTTGTTAGACTATTGTGAGAAGGCAAGAACATTTCAAGTAAGTGAATTTGGGAATTAACTGGAAAGTTGAATTTAAATTTTGTGGCACACTGTCTATTGAATCCCGTGACCTACATGTCGAGTTATATAGCTCATGAAGGCAATTATTTGAATTAAAGATAGTGAATAATAGTTAAAATCTTCCGTATTTTCTATTCTTCAAATGTATCTGTTTTTTTATTCAAGACTTTATGGAACAATGGTTATGTTGTACTTATCTAGAAAACGATTTTTGAACAATATTATGTTTTTTTCTCTTTTAGAGAACGATATATATGATAAAGAAGATAAGGGACTAATGGTCGAAATTCGACGTATTGGAATGCTTGCAGATATAGGTAATTCTAAAAGTTTCACATAATCAATCTTAATGTATACATCATAGTTTAGTGACTTGCAAGATTGATTATAAAGCATACGATGGGGCTGTCGGCCAAAATTTGCAAACACGATTTTTTTTTTATCATCAGTGTCATCTGATATGTGTAAAGCTGATTCACGCGTTTGATGCATATAATTGCCACGCATGTAGCGAAGAATTACACGGAGTGTGTCATCTATCTATGTATTTTGACCGGATATTAGTATTCTATTGAAACAGAAAAATAGTAAATATATGCATAAGCTAATCATAACAAGATAAACATGTATGATACTTTTGTTGTATTTAGGAAAAATGGCAAAGGAATCGGCAAAAAGAAGACAAGAATTAATAGCTAGAAAAGAAAATAGACTAAAAGAAAAGATAAGAAAAACAGAAAATAAATTGAAGAGAGAAAATCATGCCGCAGAGAAAAATATCAATAAGCCTAAAAAAGAAAAAAGAACAAAACCTGACAGAGAAACCAGACCAAACAAACCTGCCGTTTCCATTTTACCCTCGGTATTGGTATAAGCTTTAGGATATCAAATAAAATACATATCTTTTTATGTGAATACTTATTTAATATTGTATTTCCTTATTTTTTAACGAATAAATTACTTGCATACTTTAAAATTTTATTTCCTTTTTTTGAAATGGCTTATGTGTGTTTTACTATCCTTATGATATTTTTCAACTGGATATCCGAGGGTTTGTGCCAACGTGCTATGTGTGTGGCGATGTTTAGGTGTCAGTGTTTATTTACTTATAG